GCAATTATATATTTGTAAACAGTTGGGTCCAGGAGCATAAAGAAGACAAGACTGGCGCTTTGACATATGTTGGGTCTAATTATATAGACACTAGTTGAAGCCAAAAGGGAGTTGCGTAGAGTTGTTTGCGTGGGGGTCCTTACCCTTAAACCTAGAATCCCTGTATGAGTTTGTATAAAAACAGACAGATTCATACAGTTACTTGCATACATCCCCACAACTTATGTCATCCTACAGACCTTTAGAATGGATGGAAGCCACCATCTCATCCTGCAATCATGGAGCTTCTCAATGTAGTGGTGGCCCATTTCCAGAACCTCCCACACCTTCAAGCCTTAAGCACGCTGCCTGCAGAAAAAGTACCGTCTTATTTCTTTGACACCTGTCAAATATATGAGCCAATTCTCTGAGGCCACGAAAGAGTTTCGCACCAGTACCCAAGCTCGACTTGACAGCAATCAAAGTCCATTGCTTCTGGGTGCTTGTTGCGGCTCAGGTAAGCCCCTTAGTAGGTTTAGGGTTTCGGCTTGGTGTCAGGGTGAAAATTTTGAGTGGCTTAGGGCTCCAAGCCCCAGAGGAGCTATATTCGGGGAGATACTAGGAGTTGAGACTCAAATGGGCTTCTTCACACTGAAAAGGCTACACGACCTAAACTTATTCCTGAGTAGTAGGGAATAAGGGAACAGAATCCCTAGAACATATATTCCCTCATATCCTACTTTACCCCCTAGTGAGTAAAGTCAAGTACCGATTTTTGAAGAGTTAGCTGCTGTTAAACTTCAACCGGGCTTTGAGGAACAGCATATACCTTTGAGAGCCGTGGGCGGTGTAGCCAAGATTATGTACAATAGCTTCCTTGCTGTTGGCAGTGAATGCTACCGCTACTGAACAGCATAAAGACTTCAGAGGATTGGGCGCCTTCTTGAAGTCAAGGCACATGTTGGTTTCCTTCTTTTCGGCAGCTTTTTTTGCGGTTGGAGGTGGAGCTCTCAACCCTCAAATTGTGGCCTTTGTTGAGTCTTATGTACGACCTTCACAAAGCTTCGTTCTCAAGTTGGATTGACTGGTGTATATTTGGGGAGACTATAGCCCCAAGAGATTGCACCTTGCTTTTGGGTATTGTATTTTATATCCACAAGAAGGAAGCTATTCATTTGCTAGCCGAGGCTCGAGGAGCTCGACCACCGCGTTAGCAACCTGACCCGCGTACCTGTTTCACACAACGAGGAGGCGTGTGGTTTGGGGTTTAGGGTTTGGGTTTAGGCTTGATTCAATACTGGATGCAGTAGGAACCAACTGAGAGAAATGCTGGAGGGCAGGCGTCGAGAACTGTGGTTCCATGCACACGTATGAATAAGCAAGAGGCTTGTCCTGCTACAGTCCTGCCAGAGTTTTGGTTCTATCAAAGCCTCCAGTACGTGATCTTGGGACAGCATCTAGTTTCGCCTAAGGCCCGGAGTCACAAGTATCGTGCATCCCAAAAAAGCTCCCGCTGTGTTGTTGAAGAATCTCTGTCAGTTTGATTTTAAGCAGCTTGTTGGTAATATTCTCCCTCTAAGAATGACAGCCCCCACCCCTAGCAACAAAGACTCCCAACATAGCATCGCACTATACAATGTGGAGGATATTTCTATTGGGTGCGGGGTGGAGGCTTGTTTGGGGAGGGGACTCATGCATATCCCTATGTTGAGGTTTGTAAGCGAGCCCGCCTAATTTCAAGCCCTTTACATCCGGATTCTCGGCTTTAAGGTTTGAGTTTTAAAAGGATTTAGGGTTTAAGGTATATTGCCCCATCCAATCCCAAGTTACGTTCTCTCTTCGATTCTTGTTTTGGAGACATCCTCACCAGCTGGGAAGCCATCTCAATTGTTCTATTATTTTGAGGGATTAGGTAGGGGAGGATACCAACAACCTTGCCACCACTCTTGGCCTTGTATAGCACAAGTGTGTGTATTCAGCGCCGCCCCAAATTCCGAGCCCCAAAGCCGGGGTATATAGGGGTTTTGGGGGTTTGGGGTTTAGGGTTTCAAAAAAGGTGTATGCAGACTTCTGTTGAAACCAACGACCTTGACTTGGAACATTGGTTGTGGGGTGCATAGTCCATGCACCTGTCATACAACAGCATTTGTATTTCTGGATGTTTACCAGGGATGGTGGGGAATGAGGAAGTATATTATGTAAAGGGACTCTTGTTCTACAGACAGTCCTATGTGGCTCCGATTTGTCTGGCCCTCTCTTCTGCAGTTGCTACCTAAACCCGCAAGCACAAGCACAACCACCAGCAAATTCTGGACCCCATTCACCCACTCCTGGATTATAGTGGGTTGGTCAATGATTGGTAGGTAATGTTCACATTGATTGCCAGGTCTTCGTGAATCCACAGGCATTTAAGATCGGTATGGCCTGCACAGAAACAACTGCTCCCTTTAGGATGCAAACACCAGGATTTTGTTGAAATCTTCCGTGTTTTGCTGAAACTGTTTTTGCTTGTTTGTTCGATCCAGTCATTTGTTCCTCGTTCAATCTGGGAGGGAACAGTTCAAACTGCCGCTTTAAACCTCTTGTACCGGCGGGGTCGAGACTTTACTGGTAAATCCAGGTTCATGGAGGTTTGATACACGGTGCTAAAGTCCTCTTCGGCTTGTGGGTTTTTCACCTTGGTTTGTATTTATCTGTTTGGGTACCTACATAACAATTTGAAGTTTTCCAGCCAGCCTCTTTTGCAACTCGACAGGTGCAGATCTTGAGGTACCGTCTGGGCGAATTCTATGCGGCCCATACGGATAACTTCGATCCCAGACGCTAGGTTCCTTACAAGGAAGGGGTTTGACAGTGTCTGGGGGTTCAGTTTTTTCTCTAGATGAGAAGTATACAAACCATGACCTAAGTACCTCTGGAGTAGACAGTTGGGCACAAAGTACCTACACAGCAGCCCATGCGGGCCCGAAACAATAGCTCGGTCCTCGCACCTTTCAGACTGTAACATCGAAGCCAATATGATAGAAGCCACTATGAAGGCCCTAGATGCTAGATCATTACCACTATTATTGCCCTAGATTCCTCGTATACTTATACCCTAAACCCTGGCCCTAAACCCAAAACCTTGTCATTTAAGGTGCCTCAAATGGACCTCGTCATGATCTTTGTAGCTATCCAGGCTCCTACAATCCTAGCACAACCCTAGACGCCCCTTCTCTTAGAGTCCTTCTTGGTTTAGGGTTTAGGTTTTAGGGTCTATAGGGTTGAGGTTTAGGGTGCCCTATTGCGCGAGACCCTCCGTTCAGGATGCCTATACATCCTCAGGAACTTTTACAAGACAGCGCCTTTTTAAATGCCTTACACCCCCAACCTCCCAATCCCGCTGGCACAAGCCCGAGTACCCGAAACACATTTCGATGTTTTCGTATTACGCTCTGGAACTGAGGATACTACCAAGCTACGGTGGAATCTCGGCGAAAGGGTCAACGGAGTGAAAGCCCCAGCACTTACCCAAAGGTTACCCTAAAAGTCCAGGTACCCAATTGTCATATTCTTATCCAAAATCTGTACTGCAGTTCTTACTACCAACATGAAAAGTCCCTAAATATTTGGTACTTGGACCCTCAGGCTTATCTTCCATCGCAGGGGGCCTAGATCACAGGTTTGAAGCAGGAAGTCGGATCCCAAATCCTGCATGCATACAATGAGACTTGTAATTCTAGATGTTTGCTGGGGATTAGCGGGGAATAAGCGAATATATTATTTAGGGACTCTTGTTCTATATTCCTTAGTACCCCCATCAGCAAGGCTGGGTGAGTTTGCAAGATGAGCTTGTTAATGTCTCACAACAGGCTTGGCTGGTTGTCCTCCAACATGTTCGAACCGCCAAGACCCTGCCCCCGAACGTCTTCAACCTTAGACCTCGGACTTAGTTTTCCTCCAGCTATAGACGCCGGTAAGTGCACAGTCTCAGGATATTGGAGACCCATGATTAATAACCCCCTCCTTTCAAAGGCCTTAATATTATTCGGATCCCTATTATAATCCCTATTGATTAAGCGAAGGGTGTTTCTTAATTTGGGGTCTACATTAATCAAGCGGAATTAAAACGTATGTCAGACCTGACCATGTCCTCTTCAGGATTACATTGACAAGGGCCACCGCAATCGGCTACTTACCGTCTTCTGGTACCTGACCAACGTTGCTTTGATGCCATGGGTATTGAAAATTCATAGCCTTAGAATGGAAAAGAAAATGGAACGTTAAATGTATATAGGGCATATCATAGAGATCCAAGTATACAAAATGTCGCCTACATTGGGCCTTAAAGTCTGTAAATATGACCTACATGACGCCTTTTGGATCCCTGGGGTAAGTTTTCGCTCGGTTTGAGGGAGTACAGGTTCAGCCTTGGTGTTCAGACTATACAGACTTCCAAGTTTCAGGATTACCCCAGTTCCTTATTGGTGATTACGGGGCGGTGTGGGTTGAACATAGGTAATATCTATAGGGAGGGAATTTTAGGATAATTACCGGAATCCAGTCCTCAGGTATCAGTTCAGGTTACATGCCCGAAGCACCAGCACCAGAATGCGCAAAGCCTCTTCGTTAGGGACAGGTTGTACTTTCAGACAAAAGTACTCAATTTCTGCGGGCCTTTTGAAGACGACCATCCTTTGGAAAGGGGTCTAGATGGGGCTGCATGCTAGCATGCGTGAGGGTAGAGTCTAGGACTCATGGCAGGGTTTAGGGCGAAGAGTTTGGGCCATGACTGGTAAGACTGCATCAATCAGAAGAGGCCGCCATGCTGGCTTTGCAGGGTAGCAGGGAGAAGCCGCCTCCCAAAACTGAAGCCCTAAACCCTTAAACCCTAGGCCCTCAACCCTTAAACCCTCTAACCCCTAAACCTTAAAACCTGAACCCCAAACCCAAGCCCTAAAACAACCCGAAACCGAAGCTTCGAGCTCAGCTTGGTGCAGGTCAGTCAGGGTGGAGAGACGCTTTTTCCGCGGGCCCATGCCATGCCCCAGCCGGAGGCAGATGGCTTGGGGTTTAGGGTTTAGGGGTTTAGGGTGTAGGGCTTAGGGTTGAGGGTTTAGGGTCGAGGGTTGAGGAAGTTTAGGGTTAAGGCCTAATTAGGGTAGAGTTTAGGGTCGAGGACTTAGGATTTAGGGTTTAGGGTCTAAGAGTCTAGGGTCTAGTCTAGAGCGTAGGGTTCAGGGTTTCGGGTGTGGGGTCGGGGCTGACCTTCCAAATACCAAGGATAAATAGGACTTAGGGATGTTGATGGTGTATATGAAGTTAGCCCATGAAGCCATTCCTTTGGGGTGAAAGGCCATTCTTGCAGGCACTCGGGAGGTCTAGTTGCAGTTCAGGAGCTTATGGTTTAAGAGCTTTGTCTTTGCTGCTTAGGAGTTTGTAGGATACAGGGTATGTGTTTTAGTGTGTTTCTGGCAATTATGACAACCTTAAAGAGCAGGCCCAAGCCTCCTTACATATGTATGCGAGGCTTATGTAGGTTTAGGGCTCGCGGTTTGCGCACTGACTTTGCAACATGGATGGCTCATTGATGCATTCCCAGCAGAAGCCCAGTACTGCTTCAAAACACAGCAGTGCTTTCTGACTTGCTCAAAGTGCTGAGTTTTGGCGCTGTGGTTTTGGGTTGGGGTTGATAGAGTTGTTGAGCTTGAAGCTTTAACAGCTGTTCGACTTGGAAAACAAAACTCCACGATAGAAGACAGCTGCTTCGCAACAACTGGGTCTTGGAGCATTTCGCAAGTTATAGTCCCGCGAAGCATGTGCTGACATTGGCTACCACGAATTCCACAACATTCTGGTAGGTGAGTCCACCCTTCCAGGGCTCCATATTTGTTAAGGGGATGGCTAGCCCATAGCGCAAGGGTTTCGGGCATGCGCATCCAAAGTGACATCAGGAAGCAGCAGCAAAAAAGGCCATGTGCGACGACTACGAGCCCTCCTCGAACACCGCATCGCTTGCCATCCGCATCTACGCCTCATTCTGCAGACTTCGTGTTCCTCCTGTCGTCAGAATTACATTCTAAAATGCTTGGCAGGATCCTTACGACGAGTTTCCCAAATTATTCCCAAGTCCCCGCCATAGCCCAGACACACCTAACCATCAAGACAAGCAAGTTGATGTCGTGAGCTGCTGATAGGAATTGCTTGCACCATGCCCCCTGGGCTGAAATCATCCCTAAGACCGAAGCTTTGAATATGAGCTCTAAATCTAAACCTATCGCGCCACTCAGCAGGACATGCACAGCTGCGAGCACGGCCTGAAGGTTCAGCCCGAGATTGGCTCTGTTTTGCTTTGGTATTCCTTGCGCCCAAACGGAAACTCTGATCCGCCCCTTGGTTTCTGACAGTTACGGCAATGGATGCTTCCATCTTTGTGTTCCGCATTTACGTGGCTGGCATAATTAGGGTATTGAACTTCAGGGCTTCCTTGCTCCTTGCTGATGCAAGATCCACATAACTGGCAGTGGCTGGGCCGCAGTCAAATCAGGTTGAGGGGGGAACGTTGCTTTGCAGTTCTCGTGCCCCATGACCTGCACAGGCTGTTAGGAAGCAGCTAGGCTGGCCTTCGGCCTTGAGGGAATACGTGATGTGTACAAAACCGGTTTATGCAGCCATACGCCAAGCCACATGCTTATCACTGGGCTTTAAGGTTTGATCTTCCCTGCTTAGCAGCTACAAAAAATGCAGCTCCTTCAGTCGCTTGCAAGCAACGACTGTTTTTCTACTAAGACACCGGAGAACAGAGCCTGTGCGCCAACGTCAGCTCCCAATCCCTGGCAGCAGAAGCAACAATCATATGCTGGCAAGTAAGGAACAGCCTCCATGCCTCTTGCCCTGTGCAGGACGGCTTGACACTTGGTGTCGTCATCATGGTAGTCTCACATTTTGGGCTATGGGTTGTTCCGGGGTGCGGTTCGGCTTCGGGGAGATTGGCACTTGTTGTGTGGATTTGCTTCTCCCGTGAAGTATTGGGCCATGGAGAGAAGTTCTTTCCTAGGTCATGACGACACTTCAGGATGCTTCTCTGCCTTCTTGCAAAGTTGGAGCACCCGTCGAGGGACACAGTGGCTTGAAGACAATAACTTTTCCCCAGAACCTGTACATGCAAGACCGCCTTTTCAGTTTGACGAGTATATGCTGCATATAGTAGTAAGAGGAAGGGTCGTGCATATCATGGGCTTGCTACATTTAAACTACCTGCCCCCCAAACCTGCCGAATCAAATTATGCTAGTCCTTGCGGGCTCCCTGGTGAAGAACTGGGTTCCGTCAGGGACGAGAGCATTTAGGCCTGAGCCAGGATACGGTCATGTTAAGGCTAGCTGTTAAGGTGTAACCGGTCATTAGCCACATATAGTACTGTTGTCGCATTGCAGAATGCAAGCCTCCTCTTTGCGGGAACCTTTACGTCAGCTGCTTGGGCCATCTTGGATCCTTGAGGCTTCTCGCTGTGAGTTTTTTTCTGGCAGGAAGGCATTGCACTTCAAGCACTACGCGGAAGGAAGCCTTGTATCCTTCTGTGCTGGTATCTACCCAAAGAAGGCACCTCACCCAAACACCTAACATCATAGCCTCTAGCTCCAACATCATGGATATATGGGCCATTGTTATGGGTTTGGGAGATCTGGATACGCCCAACACTTTGGAGCAGCAAGGAAATGGTCTGCAAACTACTGGGTCTGGAACAAGCCACGGGACTTTGGCATTGATCTACCGGATGCAGATTACGACGACGAGTACAGCGGCAGCTTTGTCTGGATTTGATGTCTGTTACAGGGTTGTCTAAATAAGGGGGAAGGATATTTGGGTGCGGTTTCGGATTTGGGGTTTATGGTTCAAAGATGTTTAAAGCTCAGGCTGCTGAGGGGTTTTGAGGACCCAAAAAGTCCTTTTTTCAGATTTCCGAAGGGGATGCTGGCTTCCCATTTCCATGCTGATCAGTTGGGAGCTCCAGAACGATCGAGCCCTATGGTTCAGAGATGATATACACTGGTATACCGAGATCAAAGTTGGACCCTGTCTAGTATAGGGGGGCGAGTACATTCTTTTGCTTGAGTGGTGCAGGATATTCTCCAGCAACCCCTATCCATTCCCCTACAAAAAAACCTCCCAACACCCCTGTAAGGGACATTTCCTTTCCATAGCAATGGCTTCAGGCCTGGGAGGTGATAAAAAAAAAGAGGCCAAGGCTTACTTTTTCCGTGCTGCAGGTTGGTTAGTCTTCCTTGCTCGACATTGCAGATGTTTCAATGCCACTTCTGGAAGGAGCTTCTTATGCCAAACGCCTTTTTTTAAACGGAGGAGATGGTTGTTTTCGAAAAGGCTGGGTCCCTAGTACGCTCCAAGTATATTAGATTCCTGCGTCTGGGGGCTCGCAACGAGGGACACCGAAATCTTAGAACCCCACCATGAGCCTAGGGACCTTCCTCAGGTGAATCTTCAGAGGCAACTGAGGGAGACCCCGTGCCGCGGAACAACGTCAATGCTACGTCCCTGCCCCATTGTTGACTTAGAGGGTTCTCAAGACAATGCTGCTCCAGGCACCTGAGGGGTATTTGGGAAGCATGAGGAGAGTATGGGGGGTAGCATCGGGTAGCCTTGTCACACACATCATTTTGACAAACCATCACATCAACACTTTTCACAAGTCGGTTTTTGACTTTGTTCACGAAGCGGAGCTCTGCTACTGTAACGGGAGGTGGAATGATCCTGATTTTGGTGTTCTGGTTCGAGTCGGGACCCAGGTTCGAGAACCGTCACACGGAGGAGAGCCTCTTCTTGTGGGGGGCTCAGAAGATGCACAGGCATGGACCCTCTGAAGGATGGTTGCGAACAGAAGGCCGCCAAGAGCAATCTTGGTAATTTGAGCAGGCTGCCAGCTGCTCAAGCCAGACGGTTGCTTCGGGGGATGCATGCGTTGAACGTACCCCGGGCTCGCGAGCCAACCGTCAATAAGTTGCATCTTATCTTTTTAGTTCAGGTGTCTTCTTATTAAATCTGAACATTGCGAAAAAGGGTGCACTCATTATTATGGGGTTACTTGGGAACCTAGAATATGTGCAATATTCCCATTCTTGTTCTGTCTTAACCCCCGGGCGGCAATATCCACCCCAGAACTCTCAACCCTCCAACCAAACTGCGCAACCTTAGGTCGAGAAGACCTAGGACTTAGGACTGAGAACAATAGGCCATCAAGCCTACGGACCGGCCCGCATTTCGCGAGCATACCTAAGGCCCAAGGTCTACACGCGCTAAGCCCTCTTATCCGTACTGAACCCCTGGATGAGCTATAGTCTATAAACTTCAAGGGGGTTGTATAGGGAATTCTATATGAGAGTATTATATGGGTTTCTAATGCAGATATTAGGAGTTTAGACTATGGCTCAGATAGCCCTTGTATAGTTCCAGTCAAAGTAATGTAGACCCTGATTAGGATCTTAATCTTTAGGCCCTTAAAAGGAGGGGGTTTATTAATCACCGGTCTTCATTATCCCGTGACTCTAAGGTTCTGGAAGCCTCCAGACCGGCAGCAGGAAGCCTTCATGGGCGAAATTCGTCCGCAGGCTGCCAGCTTAATCTTCAAGCTCTTCTGCTTTCAGGGTTTAGTTTTTCTAAGCTGAATAGGGAACGAAAAAAGAGGGAAACTGTGGGGGGGGGAAGGGGTTATGCGGATGCACGATGTTGAGGGTAGAAAGTATTTTTATTTTTTTTGTGGGGGGCGGGGGGGCGTATACGGGGTCGTTTACACGGATCATTACGGATCCATTTCACCATTCCTGGTGCCAGCCAGTAGGTTTGCGCGCGCAGGATTAAGGTCTTGCTTGGGGTTTAGAGTTTTAGAGTGTCGTTACAGGTTCCGGGAGGGTCCAAGTACCTAGTATTTGCTGCACCCGGATAGTTTAGGTGAGTGATGAGTTGAGAACTGGGATTTTCAGTTCCCCCTTTGATCAGTAACTTAGCGAAGAATTAGCAAGTCCTGTTTGCATCATGATGCTAAGCCACGGTCCCCTCTTCAAGTCTTCACCTGGTTACTATGCAGGGACACTCCTCTTATAACCCGGATCTACCTTATGCCTACTACTATAGTTACATAACCTGGTTCTACCTTATCTATATCCCACTATACCTACTATTATGGTTACATAACACGGGGTATCTCGCGATGGCCTTGATGCCTTAGTAGAATTTACGGCGCCCTCATCTTGAGCTGCTTATTTGTGAACCTGTTCATATCTGCATGGCAGTAAGTTTGTATGGCTCATATAGAGCTTCCAGGCCTGCATGCATGGGATTTAGGGTTCAGGGGTAGGATTTACAGACTCTTGCCAGGACGTCAAGATTCAAGGAGCATTCTAAAAGAATTTTGTACCATCCCCCCATCAAATCCAACGCTGCCCACGCAGAGCATTCGTCATTCAACTTACTGAGGGTTAGTAGGGAATAAGGGACTATAATCCCTATAAGGTCCCCATATAACATATCGCCTTATTCTCTACTAACCCCAAAGTAAGTAAAGGAATGGTCCCCTCACAGCATCAAAACCGTTCATGCTTGCTCCCAAAGACTCACATCCAAAGGGTCCAAGTAGTTACATGGTATATACTTAGGGCCCGAAGGGGTTCCCACATGGGTATTTTGGGGCCCAAGTACATACCATACACTACATGGACCCTTTGGTACAGTTAGTGGCAGTCTCATTGATATAGCTGAACGATGGCAGGTTTGCAATACTCCCTTATAACCTCTTATGACAAGAGCAAGGTTGTCCATTGAATAAAGACGTTTGCAGAGTTTGGTTGGCCTTGGAGCGTGTCAAGGGGGGGCAAGAGTTCAGGACCATAAACTGAGGCTTGCAGATGGGCTTATTATTTAGGAGTTGGAAGTTTAAGGATGACAGCCAGCAGCAGGAGTCTCTGAAGATGTTCACCTATCCTGGCCATCTGTGGCACTTCCGCAGCGGCGTGGATCAGTCGTCTACTCTTCTTTACGTGCAGGCAATATCTTTGTGAGATGGGCTTGGGTCTTCCTGGGCTTCTGTTGTGCATTCTGCTAGGCTAGGCCACGATGAACATTCACGTAAAGGGATTAGTAAAAGTCTTTAGCCGGCCTTCCCAAGGTCATGTTACAATGTTTCAAGAGTCTCTTTGTTCGCGCAATTTGCCTCTTGAGAGGATTGAAGGGTTCTCTTGAAGTTGGCCTGAGATTTGGGCTTACCTACAAGAGCATCTTTCGTGAACAGGGGAAGCAGATGAGTTGTGAACTTTCTTTCTTCAGGAGCTTGGAATTTGGTTAGGTCATGCTGCCCTGGCTAATTCTCGACTCTTACGCCTGAGCCATTGCCTTCTTTTTCCTGTGGTTCAATCTCGCACCCGGAGCCCAGAGACTCAGCGCTTGAAAACAGAAACTCGTGCAGCACACCATTGGGAAACGTGGCGGGTTGGTCCGGCGTGTAAGACCGTGCGTGTTTGTTTAGACGGCCGGCCAGGGTGGGTCTAAGATACCTTTGCGTCAGACGGTCCGGGCAGTAGCAGGTACAGAGGCCAAACAGCCGCAACAGTGCAGGAAGGCAAAGTCAATAGTCGGTTTGACATCGAGCTTTTCAACTCATTTATCTTTCTCTGAAGTATGGAAGGCCCGCCTCGAAGGAGCCCCCAAACCCTAACCCCCAATAGGCCACAAACAGTTTTTTATGGAACCCACTGGTCCCTAATAGGGGTTTTGGGTTTGGGGGCTGCTTATGGGTGCCTCTACCATCAACCCTGTGATATAAGGCGATATAGAAAAGAGCCCTGGATCTTCAAATGACCCCTCTCCAAAGAAGTCAAAAAAGAGACATCATTACGCGTCTTAACCATAAGGCGCTACAATTTGAACCCAGATCCCTACAAAGGCTTAAACGCTCAGCTCCCCCCGTTCATTTGACATGCCAACTGGCAAACCCAAATCGCAACCTCAAGACATTTCTCTGTATGGGGGTTTCCCAAAATTTGGGGGGTATCATTTCAGAGTCCCTGTTGTACGGATTAGAATATTTTGGGGTGTATACTGAGGTCCCCCTATTTAAGGGAACCACTATATTTTTGCTTTTGACCCCGCACCTGTTCAGGATGCCTACATCTCTGAAACACCACATGGTTTTCTTGGTGGTGGTGGTGGTGGTGGTGGTGGTGGTGGTGGTGGTGGTGGTGGTGGTGGTGGGAGCGGGGGGGGTGCGGGAATGATGGAGTAAATCTGGTAAAAAGGATTGATTGAACTTCCATGTTTGAAGAAAGTCTCTTTCAAGAAAGCAGGAAGTCTTACCGTAAATGCTCGCGAACTAAGCATGTTCTTCTGTATTCGGTTTCTAGACAGCTGGCTTCTCAAGGTTCAGGTCTTAAGATCGCTATGGAGCTGATACCAGCAAAGACACCCGATACCCTGCACCGTGCATAGCATCCGACAATTGCTTGCCCATCCTTACATACATATTTCGAAAAACCGATAAGAACTCCGATAGCTGTTATCTGGGGAAAGAGAAGAGGACATCAGTTTTTCAGCAGTGGGGGCCGGAGAAAGGCCCAACTTACGTGTCCTCAACTGTCCTTTCCGCCACGCCTGGAACCTTATTCCCTCAAGCCCAAATCCGTACCTTTTAAGTCGCTTCCCGTATCCTTAGAAACAGGAAGATAAAGCTGAAGACGCTTGGGTAACGCCAGGAGATCTACAAGGATCAGCCCGAACAGGTCTTCATCCTTGGAGGTTCTGTTCGGACTCAATTTGGGTCTAGAAGTCACTGTTTAGGGTTCAAGGTTTTAGATTTAGGTAGGGTTGTGGGATTCAGGATTTTGGGCTTGTACAATAGGACTGGGGTTGCTCTCAATAAGGTATGATTTAAGGAGTGTAACTCATGGATGTTCGAACTCTGAGGGTCTACTCGCGGTGGCTTATCTCTCGAAGCCAGAATCATATTATCGTTCAGCAACGGGTTTGAACAGGTGGGCTCAAAGGCCCAACAGCTAGGAAGACATAAATGCAGCACGCAAATCGACGTCCGAAATCCAATGTAGCCCGCGCCCACAGCTTTTTGAAAACTTTCGAGCGACTTGATGGTTGCAGGGCTATTGGTGATTTTATGCAGAAGTGGTGCTGCTGCAGATAATTTCAATGTCACCAAGGCACCTGAGCGCGTAGAACAGGGATCAGTCAAGGCATGATCTCCCAGGGAATATAGGGGTATAGCATAGGATTATATGAGCCATTGTCTAAACTCCTAGTATCCCCCTTGATATAGTAGTCCCATATATATTCCCCTATATAACCCCCCTCAAGGAGTTTAGACTATAGCTCATATAAGGACTACATAGGGGTGATGTAGGGGATAAGGGTCTAGGGTTCTTTTAGATGCCAGGCCGAGGCTTCCAAAACCCTTTGCAGCCCCAGTCTTTCAGCCCGGTCCCCTCTAGTACCGCTCTGGCAAATAATCAATGAAAGAGGGTTTAGGGTTTAGGGATGCACAGACCAAAGCCATTTCCCTGGTTTTTGTTACCTTCTCCGAGCAGAGCTTGTACAGGTTGATGCAGATTTCCGTTTCTTTGGTTGTAGGGGTTCCTGTGTGTCATGCTCGCGTGTGCCGATGACAGATGAAGAGACCACCAGGTTGAACCCTAAACCCTGAACCCCTAAACCCCTAAACCCTAAACCCTAAACAAGCTTTTGCCGTCATGCCTGAGGTGAGGCAGCGGCGGGGCATTCAGCAGAGCTCTAGCGCTGTGAGTGTGGGCTGGAACACCGGAATTTTAGGAGTACATGGGGTTTCCTTTCAAAATACGTATACGTATAGCCCCCCCTTAAGTAGATAGAATATGGGGTATATACGGGGATCCTAATATGATATACCCAAAGCTCTATTCTATCTACCTAAGGAGGACTATAGTCTGCTACCCTATAATCCTCATGGGGCCCTAGAGTGGTACCCCTAATTTGGGGAAACCCCCCACATATATGTATATATAGTCCCCCTTAAGTAGATAGAATAGGGCTCTGGGTATATCAAAATAAGATCCGCATATACCCCATGTTCTATCTACTTAAGGGGGACTACAATTTTATATAAAGCCTGAGCCGTGGCTCGGCAGGCGTTTAGTTCAAACTAGTTCCGGATTTACGGCCTTGCAGATCTAAACGTCTTGAGAGCGCTGGGTCTAAGGGCCTAAGGTTTTTGACAGATCTTTGGGCATTCAGGCTTTTTGTCTTAAAGGGTTGGGGGGTTTAGGGTTAAAGGCTTGGAAACAACACCTACGAAACAATAGCACTTTCCTTTAAGATGTACTGATGAGAAGCACACGGACGTCCCGATCTATTGTCCGATGCAGCCCGGATTCCATCCGTGGAGACTCCTAGCCCAAATGCGGGGCAAGGTTGGAATTGCTTGCAAATTCTGGAAAAAGTGCGCACAGGCTTTGCTGCACCGGCAGGAGCTCATTACAGAAGCATGAAGAAAGGGAGCATTCCCTTGTAACATACTTTGTAACTCTTTGTACAGTTGTCATGGCAAAAGAAAGGTCCTCAAAGCTGTATTGCAGTTCCTCAAGCCCGGCAGCAAGATTGCTATCTTCACAGCTGGTGGACGTACGGCTTGAGAAGCGAGATGCTTCTTCGGCGCATGCTCAATGGAAGATGTGACCAAGCTGTTGCAAGCCTGTCAGCCTAAACAACGGGGTTGATACCCAAATAACCCAATGTAGGTAATATTTACAGACCTTAGGGCCCAATGTAGGCATTATTTNNTTATTTGTATACTTGAATCCCTAGGAAATGGGCCCCTGCCTTACCTGCAAAAGGGCCAGACTAATTCTGTAAAAAGCATGGGATTCTTCTCTGTATATTGGTGGGTACGCTGGGTGTGTCTAGGCCCTTTGAAATCATTGATTCAGAGCAATGCGAAGGCTGTTGGACAGTACCAGATTCCCATTTTCAGTATTCAAGGCGCAGGGGGCATTTTGTTTTCACTTGCCTGGAATATCCTTCTTTTGGAGCACCGGAGATATAGGATAGTTATTTTTTTTCACGCAGAAGTCCTTGCTGGATCCCTTGTGAGTACTAGAGACTCCGGTGGCTTCCTGTGAATTTCGCGGCAGCACAAATGGCAGTACATGCCATTCTCTTCGCACTACGAACCTTCGCAATGTTGGCATAATGAGAACCTTGGAAAGGGCAGATCGCTGGAACAGCCCTCCAGAATCATGGATGTTCCATGTAATGTCATTTAATTTTGTGACCAGTATTGCCTTTGGGGGTGAGTACTAGGGGTTGTTTAAGCCCCAGATCCACAATCCCTGCCACTGAATAAACATTGTTATTGTATTATTATGTGTTGTTTGTAGTTGTAAAACATCAACCCTCTG